TGCCCAGCTTCTCCGGGGTGTAGTGGGAATGTTAGATTGTGAGGTGCTCAGATGGTGATGTAAGTGCAAGTAGCTGAGAGAGATTCTTGAGACCCTCACTGTGTTCCAGAGGGCTGGGAATGGCAGCTATGAAACTGACCAGCGTCTTGTTAATGTCACTCTGCTGATGCTCAGGAAAGCCAGGAACAGAGAGGCTGCAGCCACAGGAAGGCAGCCCTGCATTTGGTCATGTTGGGAGGATTTTCTTCCCAACCTTAAGGGCTAGAAACATAATTTCATAAATAAATGAAAGCTTAAATCCACAGAAGGCAGTGACTTATCCTCCCCACCCTTGACACCAGGCCTGTGGCATCTCAGAAAAGTCCCAGGCAAATGGTTCAGGAGTTATGTCTCAGGCAGGCATTTTGATTATAAACTGTTTAAAGTGACAACACAGAGGAAGGACGCCCAGCCTGGCTGAACCTGGGGTGGGGTGGCTGCTTGTTAGCTGTTCTCCTCTAGCTAGCCCTGTATTATTCATAGAGTAACTAGAGCCTGGAGGGTAAGAATAGCTGGCAACACAAGCTCATATTACACGGCTGGGGGTGTGGGAGGGGAGAATGCATAGTTCCTCTCCCCCAGCCTCCTTGTCTGATACTCTCGAGCAAAGACTTCCAGGGTTTAGGGAGTACTCAGGAAAAGAGGCAGCCCCTGAGATAAAGCAGCTCACCCCCATGTTGTCTTCTCCCCCCTCTCCAAGAGGGTGACCTACATCAGCTTCCTTGGTGTGCCAGCCCCAAGCTGCTAAAGCCAGGGGGAAGGTGTGGGTGTGCGTCAGCCCTTGGCTGCCTAGGTGTTGCTTGGTTATGCAGGCAGGGAGATCGCCCTGCATTGTACCACAGCGATACAGTGGGAACTTCGAACTCATCCTGAGCTGGGGTGGGGGAGGGAAAGGTTGAAGCCTGAATAACTAGATTGGCTGGTGAAAAGCTCAGGTGACTGTCAGGGCAGGGAGGCTGTGTACTTGCCAAAAGTGATGTCCCCTGCTGGCTCAACTTATTTGTGGGGGGGAGAGACCCGTGACCTTAAGGGGTGGCAAGAGAGGACCTACCCTTCCAGCCATGCTAATTCTGCCATGGTATTTGGGGGCCTTTCTCTTCCCATCACTATTGCCCAATCAGTGAGATCAAAGGACCGGATCTAGCAGGGACATCTCTCCTGGCCAGCTCTGGAATTTCCTGCTGGGTGGTGGGTGTTCTGTGCGTGCTCCGCACCCTGCATTACTGGGCATGTTGACAGCAGAGTGTGACGTGGCTAGTCAGGAAATTCACTAGTCCGCTTGGTTAATATTTACTTTGGGAGCGAAGGCTGTTGGTGTGAACTCTGTTAAGCCCCAGGTGAATGTGGCTTCACACCCCCAAAAGCTCGACAGTCTGGCTGAGTCCCAGCAGCGAACGTAAAATCCCCAGCCATCTGGCCTGCCTAGTGTGCGGCTGGCTGGGCTAAATTACCAGGCAGTTCTATGAAGTTCAAGATGTTGCCCTATTAATAGAAATGCCTGCCAGTGTAGAGATCACATGAGCATAGAAAAGCCTCCCCACCCAGACCCTTAAAAGGGGATTGGCCTGACCCATTAATAGAACAAACTGGGAGCCACTGCCAATGTGGGGGGTGGCATGAGAGGCAGAGAGAAATGCCTCTGCAGCTTGCCATATGCTAGTGAAAGCTGGCAGGGAAGAGGTCTGGCTAATAATGTCCACATAGCAGGCAGCTCAAATCAGAATAAATAACCAGCATATGGGGTGCCCGGCACTCCACAACCACCCCTGTGGCTGATTCTGGAGTTCTGTCTAGGAAAAAGGATGGGATGCTGTGGGAACGGGGGGATGCTGAGATGGTGCCATGCCATAAGAACAGCTATATTGGGTTAGACCAATGGTCCAGCTAGACCACTATCCTGTCTGCCAACAGTGGCTGGCACCAGATGCTTCAGATGGGATGAACAGAACAGTGCAATTATCAAGTGAACCATACAGTCCCAGTTGCTGATAGTCAGAGGCTTGGGACACCCACACCATGGGGTTGTGTCCTTGACTATCTTGGCTAGTAGCCATTGATGGACCTATCCTCCAGTAACTTATCTAATTCTTCTTGAACCGAGTTATACTTTTGGTCATCACAATGTCCCTTGGCAAAGAATTCCACAGGTTGACTGTGCGTTGTGTGAAGAAATACTTCATTTTGTTTGTTTTAAATCTGCTGCCTATTTATTTCATTGGGTGACCCCTGGTTGTCGAGTTATGTGAAGGAATAAATAATACTTCCTTATTCGCTTTCTCCACACCATTCGTGATTTATAGACCTCTGTCATCTCTCCTCTTAGTCATCTCTTTCCCAAGCTGAACAGCCCATGTCTTTTTAATCTCTCCTCGTCTGGAATAACTTCCAGATCCTTAGTCATTTTTGTTGCCCTTCTCTGTACTTTTTCCAATTCTAATCTATCTTTTTTGAGAAGAGGCGACCAGACCCGCACACTTTATTCAAGGTGTGGTCATATCATAATGTCACTATATAAATCCATGGTATTTTCTGTCTTGCTATCCAGCCCTTTCCTAATGGTTCCTAAAATTGTTAGCTTTTTCGACTGCCAGTGCACATTGAGCAGATGTTTTCAGAGAACTATCCACAATAACTCCAAGATCTATTTTTTTTAAGTCGGAACAGCTAATCTAGACCCCATTGTTTTGTATGTATAGTTGGGATTATATTTTCCAGTGTGCATTAGTTTGATTTAGCTACATTGAAATTCATTTGCCATTTTGTTACCCACTTGCCCAGTTTTGTGAGATCCCTTTGTAACTCTTCACAGTCAGCTTTGTACTTAACCATCTTGAATAATTTTTTGTCTGCAAACTTTGCCACCTCACTGTTTACCCTTTTCCCCCCAGATCGTTTATGAATATGTTGAACAGCTCTGGTCCCAGTATAAATCCCTGGGGGAACCCACTGTTTACTTCTCTCCAGTGTGAAAACTGATAATTTATTCCTACCCTTTGGCCTTGGCTACACTGGCGCTGTACAGCGCTGCAACTTGCTGCGCTCAGGGGTATGAAAACGCCCCCCTGAGCGCAGCGCTGTAAAGCGCCAGTGTAATCAGCGCCTGCAGCGCTGCACGCTCGCTCGCAGCGCTGCAAGCTACTCCCCTCGGAGAGGTGGAATACATACAGCGCTGTGAAAGAGCTCTCGCAGCGCTGGCGGCGTGACTACACTCGCGCTTCACAGCGCTGCCGCGGCAGCGCTGTGAATTGCCAAGTGTAGCCAAGGCCTTTGTTTCCTATCTTTTAACCAGTTACTGATCCATGAGAGGATCTTCCCTCTTATCTCATGACTTCTTGGTTTGCTTAGGAGTCTTTGGTGAGGGACCTTGTCAATGACTTTCTGAAAATCCAAATACACTGTATCCACCAGATCACCCTTGTTCACATGTTTGACCCCCCATCAAAGAAGTTTAATAGATTGGTGAGGCAAAATTTCCTTTACAGAAGCCATGTTGATTCTCTCCCAACATATTGTGTTCGTCTATGTGTCTAATAATTTTGTTCTTTACTATAGTTTCAACAAATTTGCATGGTACTGAAGTTAGGCTTAGTGGCCTATAATTGCCAGGACCGCTTCTGAAGCCTTTTTAAAAATCAGTATTACATTAGCTATCCTTAAATCACTTAAATCAGCCTCTGTTCCAGATGACTGAAGTTACATACCACAGTTATGGCTTAGGTGTGGGAATCTCCTTCACATACTCTCCGGTGAAGACGGATGCAAAGAATTCATTTAGCTTCTCTGCAACAGCCTTGTCTTCTTTGAGAGGTTCTTTAGCACTTTGATCATCCAGTGGCCCAAGAGATTGACAAGATTCCTGCTTCTGATGTACTTAAAAAAAAAAAAAAAAAAAAAAAAAGTTTTTTTTTGTTTTTGAATCTTTTGCTAATTGTTCTTCAAATTCTTTGTTTAGCCTGTCTAATTATACTTTTACACTTGACTTGCCAGAGTTTGTTCCTTTCTGGTTTCCTCAGAAGGATTTGACTTCCAATTTTTAAAAGGTGTCTTTTTATCTCTAACCGACTCTTTTACTATTGCTTAGCCAAGGTGGCATTTTTTTGTTTGGTCCTCTCACTGTTTCTGTAGTTTGGGGTATACCTATAGTTTGAGCCTCTATTATGGTGTTTTTAAGAAGTTTCCATGCAGTGTGCAGGCATTTCACTCTTGTGACTGTTCCTTTTAATACCCATTTAACTATTTTCCTTATTTTTGTGTAGTTCTCTTTTGAAGTGAAATGCTACTGTGGTTTGTTGTTTTTGGTATTTTTTCCCCCTACAAGGAGGTTAAATTTAATTACACCATGTTGCTATTACCTAGTGGTTCAGCTATGTTCACCTTTTGAACCAGATCCTGTGCTCCATTTAGGACTAAATCAAGAATTGCCTCCCCCTCCCCCTCCCCCCCCCCCCGCGGGTTCCAGGACTAGCTGCTCCAAGAAGCAGTCATTTATAGTGTTTAGAAATTTTATCTCTGCATCCCATCCTGAGGTGACATGTTCCCAGTCAATATGGGGATAGTTGAAATCCCCCATTATTATTGGGTTTTCTGTTTTTGCAGCCTCTCTAATTTCCCTGAGCATTTCACAAGCACTGTCACCATCCTGGTCACATGGTCAGTAGTTTATTCCTACTGCTATACCCTGATTAGTCAAACATGGAATTTCTATCCATAGAGATTCTATAGTACAGTTTGATTCATTTAGGATTTTTACTATATTTCAGTCTATGCTTTCTTTCACATATAGAACCACACCTCCACCAGCACGACCTGTCGGCTTTCCCCCTGCCCTTAGTTTAAAAACTCCTCTACGACCATCTTAATTTTACATGCCAGCAATCTGGTTCTGTGATGCCCCTCTCAGTGTTGATTTGGGTTACCCATTGTTTGCCTTTGTTCCCCAACCTTCTCCACCATAATTGCAGATCGAAAGCGGAGATGCGTCACACCTGTCGTGGGACCATTAACCTAGCCACAGCCAATATCACTGTGGAGGACTCCTGCAACTTCATCATCTCCAATGGTGGGGCACAGACCTACCACTTAAAGGCCAGCTCGGAGGTGGAGCGGCAGCGCTGGGTCACGGCCCTGGAGCTGGCCAAGGCCAGGGCCGTCAAGATGCTGGCTGAATCAGGTAAGGGGTGCCATGCGCGGCTTCTCCGAGGGAGCGCCATGCAAGAGGAGGGAGGGACTCAGTGGTGGTGCAGTACAGAGGACACGGGGGAAGCTAGGAATGAGTGAACACAAAGACTGAATTCCTTTCCTCTCAGGGAAGTGCTCTCCTAGATTGGGTTTGGGGTCCCAGGGTGGAGTGCTGTGTGTCAGGAGGGGGGATCTGAGCCCCCTAAGTAATTGTATCTCCCCCACTCCTGTGGCTCCCAGCTCAGAGCTCTCGTGGGAGCTGCAGGTGATGAGAACCTCGCACCTGAAAGCAGCACCAAATGCTTCACCTTGAGATACCAATCACCTTTCCATTTTAGGGATGTGATGTGTAGCCTGGGGGTCAATACAATTTTACTCGTCACCCAGTTGGGATTCCTGGCATGTTTCGTTCCATCCTATTTAGATTCTCAGCTCCTCGGGGCAAGGACCACGCGTCTCCAGCCTTGCCCGGCACCAAGCCCATGATTCTCCAGTCACTGCTCAGGGCCTGCTGAACTGCGTGCCCAGTGCCCCATGGCAACACATGGCCTGGGGGCTCGTTGCCAAGGGCAAATGGACTCTGCTTTACCCAGTAGGCTGTTCAATCTCTGGTAGATCTGTAGCTCCAAAACTATAGCCTGTTTGTCTGTATCACAAATCTGCCTGGCTCCCCCTCCCATGTCTAAGCTGCTATGTTCTGCAGCAAGAGGCTTTTGAGGCCGTTCTCCCCCCTGGACTGATGTGTTTAGCTCCACTGAATTTTATTTCCCATGGGAATACAGGGGTCTGACTGTGGCTCAGCTACCGCCTCATGCTGACTGGGGCTGTGGCATGAATGCGCATAAAGATCTCTCCACGCTCAGGCAGCTGCAGTTTGGAATGTTCAGAAAAGTGAAATCAGCACTGTTGGAAGGTGTCCGGCCATCCCCAGGGACTGAATTTTGTGTCTGACAATTTGAGTTCTTGGCCTCTCTGCTTAGAAGTAGACATTAGCGCCAAGCGTATTGGTTTTCTAGCTTTACTATTGGGAGCGAGATCTGCATTTTTCAGTGAGCAGTACTTCAGATCCAATGTGAGAATTCCCGGATGGTCTCTGAATCTCTCTAATAGTGTCAGCTGTTACCTCCTTTAATACAAAAATGCCAGGTCTCCTCTGACTGCTGCTTGAGCAGCAGCTGTCACTTTCGCACCATGTAATATAGAACAAATGATGGAACAGGTCTGGAAAATGAAAGGTTACTTGCAGTTTTGAGGTGGGGGGAGAATATCCCAATTTTTCTAGACCAGAGGTGGCCCATGTGTGGTTCCGGAGCCACATGTGGCTCTTCAGAAGTCAATATGTGGCTCCTTGTATAGGCACAGACTCCAGGGTTGGAGCTACAGGCACCAACTTTCCAGTGTGCCGGGTGCTCACTGCTCAACCCCTGGCTCTGCCACTGGCTCTGCCACAGGCCCTGCCCCCACTCCACCCCTTCCCGCCCCCTCCCCTTAGCCTGGCATGCCCTCGCTCCTCCCCTTCCCCCCCCAGAGCCTCCTGCATGCCACGAAACAGTGCGGGGAGAGAGGAAGGGGGAGGCGCTCATCAGCGGAGCTGCCGGTGGTGGGCGGGAGGCTCTGGGGGGTGGGGGAGGGAGCTGCTGCGGGGCTGCTGACGTAATACTGTGGCTCTTTGGCAATGTACGTTGGTAAACTCTGGCTCCTTCTCAGGCTGGCCACCCCTGTTCTAGACCTTTTCCAGATTAGCCTGTATGAACATAGCAAGTGATTAGCTATATCTGTTTGGGACAGTATGTACAGCTGCCAGCACAATGAGGTGTCACTCCTGAGTGGCGCCTTTGGGAGTGACCCCAATAAAATTATTTAACGTAGCTCTGCGTTGGCCTGCTTGGGATTTCTGGACCTCGTTTTTGTTTGTTTGTTTGTTTTTTCAGGACAACGTAGACCACTAAAAGATCAGCAGTCAGGTCTTTATTGACTCTGACAGTAATCAAGATTTAGCATTATCTCCACCATCTCTATCCGTGAATTCCAGGATTCGGGGTTCTGGTATTCCTGAAATGTCTTTGCTTCCCGAGTTCTAATATATACCGTAGTGTTGGCTCTCTTGCTGTTGAACACACACCTCGTATGCCAGGACTCCCAGCCACATGGTCAGATCAGAGCTTTCCCTTAAGATTTCCTGGCTTGATCTGTTCTGCTAGTGTCTTCACATAGACTTCTTGGAGCCGCTTATGCAGTGAACAGCCCTGCCCATTACTTTCATACTGGCTTTAGAATAATCATTTCAGATTCTGTTTTGAAAGAGAGGGGAGCACAATAAATAGCCTGTCTGGAGTAAAAATCCCCTCCCTCTTTAACTCCAATCCATGCTCTTTCTCAGCTGCCTGGGGTCAGCAGACATATGCTGTTAGGCCAAGGAAAAAAGCTCAAAAGCCCCTGTCTGCTAAAGCTCTGCCCTAACAGTTCAACCAGGGCTTCAGCTGCTGAGATGTCACCTGGGTGGAAAAGGCAACACCTAATCCGCTCCAAGGGTAGAACCAGGAACTGAGACACATTGGTAGCTGGCATGGCGCATAGGTGTAATAATTCTTGCCAAGTGATTGGGCTCTCCCTTGAGCACTAGCTGGAGTTTCGTGATGTTGCTTCTGTAGATTGCAGTGCGGGAGCCCAGCTGCCAGGCTGGGCCACAGATGGAGCCATGGCTAACAGAGCTGGCTCTTTTAGTCCAGGCAGGAGCGGCTTATGTTTTGAGAACCAGAGGTCCTAGGGTCAATCCCCACTGCTGATGCCCCAGCCAGGGGTTGGGTGGTACAATTCCAACCTGAGCAGCCATTGACAGCAGCTGTCATCCAATCATTACTGACCTCCAGCAGGATTGGATAGGATGAGGCACCATTTCCCCTGAGCTGTCCAGTCTACTACCATCACTTTGTGGAGACAAAATGTAGGAAATGCTGACCATGTAGGAGCAGGGGAGGGTTTGGTAACACATGTGGCCGGTTGGTGCTGAGCATCCCTTCCTGGCTGGGTGTGACATGGCTTGTCCTTGATACCCCTCCCACCCCCCAGATGAGTCGGATAATGAAGAGTCCGTGTCACAGACGGACAAGACAGAACTGCAGAACACACTGCGCACCCTGTCCAGCAAAGTGGAGGACCTGAGCACGTGCAACGACCTGATTGCCAAGCACGGCACGGCGCTGCAGCGCTCCCTCAGCGAGCTGGAGACCCTTAAGCTGCCCGCCGAGAGCAACGAGAAGATCAAGCAGGTCAACGAGCGAGCCACGCTCTTCCGCATCACCTCCAACGCCATGATCAACGTGAGTGTGGCCAGCGGCAGGGGGTGGAGCGCGAAGCTGCAGGGTTTACACGCCCTGGCATGCGCTGCTCCAGATCGGAGAGGCCTCTCGGATCAGTGCGGAACTTTGCGTGCTAGATCATGTGCTGTGTGGGGCAAGCAGCCGTGGCCCGTGTCTGTGTGACACAATAAGGCCCTGATCGCTATTGCAATGAAGGCGATCTTTGGAGCAGAGGGCAGATGTATTGTCCTATGTAAGTCAGTACAGGCAACCTACGGGTTCCAGCTCAGTACAGTGATTTTTCTGAGGCCTGTGCAGGCGTGTTTCAGCGATCGCTCATTTGGCCATAGAGGGTTGAGGTGTCGCCGCCCTGGTGCCAGAGGGAGATGGGGAACCTGGTTACAGGATGTATCCCTGGGGGTGGGAGAGGTTCCTAGTGTGGGCCGGTCCCCAAAAGGGAGCTGGGGCTGTGAGGGAAATGGGGATCTATGCTCGCTCAAATGACTGGGCTGACGGTGACTTCAGCTGGGAGCCCCCTCCACTTCTCTGCCTGCTGTCCCAGCTTTGTAAACTGCCAAGCACTTGCCAGGGAGTCACTGGCCTCAGAGCTGCCTCTAGTCCCCAGAACCTCAGCATAGGGGCTCACAAGGAAGGTGATGTTTTGACAGGCCAGAAGACTTATTGTCTGGGTGGCTGCTGGACACTTGAGCTGGGGTGGTGGCTGGGACACTGCCAGTGGCTTGAAAATTCCCCTGCAGCTCTTGTTTGTCCACAAGGGGGCAGCATTGCCCCTAGTGGGAATAAGAGGCATCTGGAGCCTATGGATGCATGCTGAACAGACCCCGCTAAGCCTAACACAGCGCTCCCAGGGCAGGGTGGAGTGCAGAGCTGTGGCAGTGACCTGTGCTCTTCCTTGCAGGCCTGCCGAGACTTCCTGATGCTGGCGCAGACGCACAGCAAGAAGTGGCAGAAGTCCCTTCAGTATGAGCGAGACCAGCGCATCCGTTTGGAGGAGACCCTGGAGCAGCTGGCCAAGCAGCACAATCATCTAGAGAGAGCCTTCCGAGGGGCCACCGTGCTGCCAGCCAGCGCCCCCCGAGGCGGGGGCTCTGCTAAAGGTCAGAGGGCAGGGCTCCTTCCCTGAGGCTGCACTGCAGCAGTCTGCTGTTGCTCTTGCTGGGTGATGCAAGGACTGGTGTGATTGGGAGCTCTCCCTCAGCTCTCCGTTGTTATGCACTGTTCCCTTCTAGAGCTCCCCCTGCTGAGAGAGGCTGGGACTGGAGTAGCTGGGAGCTTCTGCTACAGCAAGGGCTCCTGCCCTGCTCCTGCTGGAAGAGATCAGGACTGAAGTAGCTGGGAGCTCACCCCAGAGCAGTATTGCTGCCCTCCTCCTGACAGTGCCTTCTGGTCTGGTGGGAGAGGCTGCGGCTGGAATAGCTGGGAGCTTCTGCGACAGCCAACACTTCTGCCTTGGTCCATACAGTGCCCCCTGCTGGGAATGGTCAGGACTCAAATAGCCAGGAGCTCCCCTATAGCCAGCACTCCTGCCCTGCTTCCCATGATGCCTCCTGCTGGGCTCCAGGCAGATGGAGACTGAAGACTCTCATGTATAGCTTGCCACCATTCCCTCTTGCAGATGAATGCTGCCCAGGGAAAGGAGACCTGAGTGATGAAGATGACGATAATGAGTTCTTCGATGCACCGGAGATCATCACCATGCCAGAGAGCATGGGCCACAAGTGAGTGATCTCAGGCTGAGTCTCGGGCATCGTTCTCCTGTTCCTCTGCCTAGCAGGGAGGATGCCCCTTCCCTACACGTACGTCTGTGGATGATCATGTAGATCTGCTTCTGCTGGTAAGGACCATACTCTAGGTTACTGTGATGAAGAGGGGTAGCTATCAGCATGGCATGGGCCTCTCCACCTCCCTGCCATGTCCTGTATCATTCCTCCGCTCTCCAATGTGCCTCAGACTGAGAAAAGCCTCTGTTGGCTTGGGGGAGGGAGGGCATTGAGGGGTGCAACGTGCTGACTTTTGTTTTCTCTACTTCCTGCAGACGCACCGGCAGCAACATCAGCGGCGCCAGCAGTGACATCAGCCTCGATGAGCAGGTAGTTCTGTGCCTGGGGCAGGCAGTCTTTTTGCTGATGGAAGCCCCCAGAGAGAGAGAGAGGCTGTCTGGGGGCATGGGCAGATATCCCAAGGAATGTTCCTGGCACTGATGACTTGAGCTTGCTGGGTGCTTTAAGCAGGCATGAAGCCAAGGGCCTGACAGGTTTAGCCTAAACAGGCAGGGCTGTGGGTATGGGAGTGCATGAAAGCTGAGTGGGGAAGAACTAGACCTTCTGGCAGTGCAGTGGGAGGAGATCTGGTGGGCTGGGTCAAGGAGGGTGTCCCAGGCATAGGAAGCTGCATGGAAGGAGGCTGGAGGTAAAGAGAAGGACATGAAGGGAGGGAGGGAGTTGAGATTGAGAAGAGATCTGCAGACTGGCTTTCCCTTGGTCATCCCAGCATGGTCTTGCCCATGTCTTGCCCTCAGTACAAACATCAGCCAGAGGACACCAAAAAGGAGAAGAGAACTCGGATTCCCAACAAGCCGAACTACAGCCTCAACCTGTGGAGCATCATGAAGAACTGCATTGGGAAGGAGCTCTCCAAGATCCCCATGCCGGTGAGTCCCCCAGCCTGTGGGGGGGGCGCTCTGGGGCTAGCTCTTTGAAAAAGGGTGACCTCCAGTTTTCTGAGGAACAGCTGGGACTGAGGCTGCAGGTTGATGAGCCCCATTGATCTAAGGTTGTTGGGTTCCCAGTGCCGGGGCTCCCTGAGCAGCCAAGGGCCTGGGCTCATCCCCTGTCTCTGACTCCTCTCTCCTGCTCCCAGGTGAACTTCAACGAGCCTCTGTCCATGCTGCAGCGCCTCACCGAGGACCTGGAGTACCACGAGCTGCTGGACCGAGCAGCCAAGTGCGAGAGCTCCTTGGAGCAACTCTGCTACGTGGCCGCCTTCACCGTCTCCTCTTACTCCACCACCGTCTTCCGCACCAGCAAGCCATTCAACCCTCTCCTGGGGGAGACCTTCGAGCTGGACCGGCTGGAGGAGAACGGCTACCGCTCCCTCTGCGAGCAGGTGTGAACCGCCTCTGCCCTAGAGGGCAAGCCAGGCTGCCCTGCTGTCTGTGCTGGGGCTCCTTAGAGATCTCCTCCAGCTGAAGCTCCTAGCGCTGCCATCCCTGCCTACCCCACCCCAGGTCCCCACGGTTGTCTCTCTTAGGGAGAGCCAGGCGCTGGGCTTGGGAGTGGCAAATGATGGCACAGGTCCCTTGGCGACTGTCTCATCCCCTCCCTTATCTCTCCCAGGTAAGCCACCACCCTCCCGCTGCCGCCCACCATGCTCACTCCAAGCACGGCTGGACGCTTCGCCAGGAGATCAAAATCACCAGCAAGTTCCGTGGCAAATACATCTCCATCATGCCCCTCGGTGAGTCCTGGCCACCAGCACCCCCACTGCTAGGCGGTAGGGTGGGTTCCTTAGGCCATGGCAGTGTCTCCCTGGCCCCTTGGGTGAGGGTTCCCATCTCCGCTTCCCTTGCTGTGACCCTGTATGCCAGCGAGGGTCTCCAGCCCCTCCTGTAGTGTTGTCAGCTGCCCAGGAAGGAGGATGGTAGAGTGCGGTGAAGATGCTGCCCCAGCCCGTCGCAGGAACAGGCACTAGAGAGCCAGATTCCTGGGATCCATTCCCACTCCGCCACTGCATTGCAGAGTGATTTTGGGTGAGCCACCCAGCTGCTGGGCCTCCATTTCTATAGTGGGAATGGTCTGAGCTGGTGGGGAGCTTGGAAAGCGCAAAGCAAGTGCCATTGCAGCAGGCTAACCCCAGCCACACAGCTAAGGTGACATTTATAACCCCTAGCTCTGACCTAGAGCTTTTCAGCCATAGAGATCAGGGTCATGACCCCTATTTTACAGAGTGGGAACTGAGGTACAGGGAGGGGACATAACTTGTCCAAGGTCACCCAGCTGGCTGGGGCACAGCTGGGAGCTAAGTTCCCTCTAAGCTGTGCAGCCACACAGCCGGCTATAAATGGGCCGCGCAGACGGGGAGAGGCTCCCCTCCCCCAGCCCAGCCCTGCTGCAGCTGCTGGGCCAGGGAGAAGCGCCCCTCCCCCAGCCCCAAGCTGCTGTGGCGAGAGAGGGCTGGGGGGAGTCCTCTCTCTCCCCGCCGCAGCCCCAGGGCAGCCTGCACCCCAAACTCCTCATCCCTGGCCGCACCACCAGCCGGAGCCCTGCACCCCAACCCTCTGCCTCAGCCCTGAGCCTGCACCCTGAACCCCTCATCCCTGGCCCCACCCTGGAGCCCACTGCCCCAGCCACAGCCCTCGCTTCCCTGCACCCCAACCCTCTGCCCCAGCCCTGAGCCCCCTTCCTCGCTCCGAACCCCTCAGCCCCACCCCTGCCACACATCACTTCCATATTGGTGCACAGAACAAACTTCATTCTGCACATGGACGTAAAAAATTAGAGGGAACATTGGCTGAGAGTAGAACCCAGGTGTCCTGACTCTCAGCCGTATCCACTAGGCCACGTTGTCTGAGTTTCTTTGCCAGTGGAAGGAACAGTGAATATCATGGGTCTGAGGGAGTTCTAGTCAATTGGACGGTAACTCCAGAGTGGTGGGGGATTGGTTGTACAATTGGAAGTCTGGAAAGCTTATTATAAGCTGTTGAGAAATAGGCGTCTGCAGTATTTGCTGGAGAGTGTCTTGCTCTTTTGTAACCCTTGTGCAAGAAATCGGACACGCTCTGGGACCCGTCCTTCAGCCCCCTGGCTACTCCTTGTGTGCTGCTTCTTGGAATCGGTTACATGGCACGAGCGTCTGTCCAGAAACCGTGTTCGCCATAACAGCCAATACACAAATCCGGCTGAAACCACCAAAACAAAGAAGTGCCACTGCGTGAACGCAGTCGGTCACCTCTGAGGAGATTGGAAAACGAATGAGCCCAGCAGTGTTATGGCTCCTGCAGGGACATCCTCAAATCCAGTGCGCCCCCGCCTCGGTCCCTACAGCGCCCCCTTCTGGGAGAGGCTGGGGCTGGAGTAGCCGGGAGCTCCCCCCCTCACAGCCAGCGCTCCTGCCCTGCCCCCTGCAGTGCCCCCTGCTGGGAGAGGCTGGGGCTGGAATAGCCAGGAGCTCCCTATACAGCCAGCTTGGTACTTCCTAATTGCATGGCACGTGTGACTGTCAGATAAAAGCAGATTGGGTTGCTGTTAAGTGTTGGGCTGGGTGAAGTCGGGTTCGTGTTGCGTTGGGGGCTCTCCTGGTGATGGGCGGGAAGCCTGGATGGGCACAGGTGTGTGCTGTCTGCAGCGTTGTAAGGCAGCTGTTGGGGTTAGACTGGCCATTCCCTTCCCCCATTTTTTAGTGCTTCTGCGGCGTGGGCGGGTGAAGTTTGTCCTGTCCCAGCGCGGAGAGGATGTCTGCTAACAGCTGTTCCAACCTCCACCTCCCCGTCTCTAGGTACCATCCACTGCATCTTCCACTCCTCCGGAAATCACTACACATGGAAGAAGGTGACCACCACAGTACACAACATCATAGTGGGCAAGCTGTGGATAGACCAGGTGAGCAGGCGGGTTTGGGAATGTGTTCACGTGGCAGCAGTGGGAGGCAGAACTCCTGGGTTCTGTTCCCAGCCCTGCAGTGGTCCCGGGGGCAGGCAAGTCCGTGGGAGCCAGGACCCCTAGGTTCTATTTCCAGCCATGTGACTTGGGCTAAGCATCTAACAGCCGTGGCTCAGTTTCCCCATTACTACCATGGGGGTGGGGGCTTGGAAAGTGTGAGTATCGCTGAGCCTAGTTAACCCAAACCTTTCTCCCCCACAGTCCGGCGAGATCGAAATCATCAATCACAAGACTGGCGACAAGTGCAATCTCAAGTTTGTTCCTTACAGCTACTTCTCCCGGGACGTGGCCAGAAAGGTAAGAGGGAGACTCATGGTTCATCCTCATCCCGAGTCTCCTTCCCCACCCCGAGCAGGGCGCAGTGCTCACCAGGGCAGTGCAGTAGAGGGCCTTGGGGGATAGAGGAGGGGAGAGAATAAAAGGGCCAGGTGCTGTGGGGCGCAGAGGGGGAGACAGGATGGGAAAGGACCTATGTAAGCTGCTGCCCCATGGCAGGTGAGGGAGAAGACAGCACATGGTGTATGACATGGCAGCCAGCCCTGGTGTTGGGGCTCAGCTCCGATCCCAACTTGCTGTTGCTCTGGGATCATGGGAGCGCTGAGATAACAGGGCCGGGGGTGGATGGGCTCTGGGGAATTTGTGGAGGGAGCAGTGGGTCTGGGGCGAGGAATCTGGTCAACTCCTGAGCGGAATGATGGGTTAACGAGGAGGAGGGAGGTGGAATATGGTGAATTCTGGCTCCTGCAGCTGGCTGCTTCCTTTGGCTCCTGGGAGCGGCACTAGAGCAGGGGCGGGCACACTTTTTGGCCTGAGGGCCTCATTGGGTTTTGGAAATTGTATGGAGGGCCAGTTAGGGGAGGCTGTGCTGCCCCAAACAGCCAGGTGTGGCCCGGCCCCCACCCCACCCCCGCTCCCTGTCCCCTGACCACCCCTGGAACCCCCACCCCTGACTGCCCCCCCGACGCCCCATCCAACTCTTCCTCTCATTCCTGAATGCCCCCCTGCCCCCATCCAACCACCTGCCCCCATCCAACCACCTCTTCTCCCTGACTGCCCCTGAAACCCCTGCCCCTGATTGCCCCCTGCTGCCCCAAACAAACCCCCATCCTTCCTGCCTGTCCCCTGGGATCCCTGCACCCATTCAACCCCCCCCGTTCCCCGCCCTCTGACCGCCCTGACCCCTATCCACAACCCTGCCCCCTGACCACCACCCCAAACTCCCCTGCCCTCTAGCCAAACCCCCCCCCCTTACCGTGCTGCCTGGAGCATCGGTGGCTGGCGGCACGGCTGTGGCTGGAGCCAGCCATGTCACCGCACAGCACAGAGCACCGGGTCAGGCCACGGCTCTGCAGCTGCACTGCCCGGCCACCCAGAGCATTGCGCCAGTGGCATGGCACGTTGATGCTGCGGGGGAAGGGGAACAGCGGGGGAGAGTCCGGGGGCTAGCCTCCCGGGGCAGGAGCTCAGGGGTCGGGCAGGAGGGTCCCGTGGGCCGGATGTGGCCCGCAGGCTGTAGTTTGCCCGCCTCTGCACTAGAGGCTCACATGGGAGCTCCCTCATCTGTGCTGGGTGGCTGGGGAGACAGCTGCACCCAGTGCCCCACTTTGTACTCTCCATCCTGGCAGGTGACGGGGGAGGTGACAGACCCCTCGGGGAAAGTGCACTTTATCCTGCTGGGCACCTGGGACGAGAAGATGGACTGCTTCAAGGTGCTGCCAGGCAGTGGGGAGAACGGTGCCGAGGGGCGGCAGAGAGCCGAGGAGAGTCAGGTCCTGCTGTGGAAAAGGAACCCCCTCCCGTGAGTGAGGGCTGCTGGGCTGGGGGCGTGGCTGAGACACTGGTGGGGCTAGATGGTCCAGCAGGTGCTGGCTCATGCCTTGCCATCTCTGCCCACAGGGGCTATGGAGCTCCCCTCACTTGAGGCCACTTCTCCTTTGCTGGGAGGACTGGCAACCAATGCAGAGATCAGGGATTCCCATGGGACGGGGAAACCCCTCCCCACTGGCGGAGCAGGCAGCAGGGCTGGAGGGAGGATGCCATGGTGGCAGGATCTCCATGGGTCCCATCCCACTGCCATGTCTCACCCTCGGCACAGGAAGAACGCTGAGAACATGTACTACTTCTCCGAGCTGGCGCTGACGCTCAACGCCCCCGAGAGCGGCACTGCCCCCACCGATAGCCGGCTGCGGCCCGACCAGAGGCTGATGGAGAACGGGCGCTGGGATGAGGCCAACGCCGAGAAGCAGCGGCTGGAGGAGAAGCAGCGCATCTCCCGCAAGAAGCGCGAGGCCGAGGCCATGAAGGCCACAGAGGACGGTAAGGAGACTGTTGGTTCCCGGCCCCTGCCCCTCTCCTCCCCCACAGGCGGTGCTGGTGTGTCTGACACCCCTCTTGCAAATCTTCCTTCCCCCTCCAGGCACTCCCTATGACCCCTACAAGGCTCTGTGGTTCGAGCGGAAGAAGGACCCTGTCACAAAGGAGTTGGCGCATGTGTACCGAGGAGGCTACTGGGAGAGCAAAGAGAAGCAGGACTGGAGCTCGTGCCCGGACATTTTCTGAGCTGGAAGTGGCAGGATCAGCAGCAGGAGGAAGAGAAGGAAAGAGGATGGAGGTTGAAGGGAAGCAGCCGATCATGTGACTTCCTTGCCTAGCGCTTTCCTCGAGTGTCTGTCTGTCTTAACCAATCGCTCGTTCCAAATCAATCACCCCAAGCAAAAGCCAGTGGCGGTGATTGGCTGGGTTGCCTTAGCTGATTGACACTGATGTTGATGATGTCTAGATCCCCAGGGCTGGCGCTCTGTGCCCCGGATGGCCGTGTCCCCCAGCTCCCTTAGACAGCCATCTATCTGTCCAGCTCGGCCCGACCCCTCTGGGAGCTGAGGGGGGAAGAGCTCGGGAGCTGTTAGAAAAGGACTGGCCCTTGTTAACACCCTTAGACAAGGGGATGCACGCAATGGGGCTGTGGATCAGAACAGAAGCACCCCAATGTACTTCCCATGGGGGGGGGCTGTTTGGGGGAGCTGGGGATATCCTGTATCTCGTATCTTGGTGGGGAGGGGTCAGTCTCCCCTCCCTTAGGTGGGAGCTAGGGGCACCCAAGTGGCTAGGGGAGCCTAGTGAGTGCCCATGGAGACGGAGGAATGTTGCGGGAGGCAATGCAGAGCCGCAGCTTCCCTTCCACATCCCGGAGCAGAGGCGGAGGCTGTGACTGGCCTTGCTCTCTGAGAACCCTGTTTGAGGCAGTCTGCTGAACTTTCCGTCTGATTTCAGAGAGGGCTGTGGGCAATGAGACCCCCACCCCCTCTGCTCTCACCTCCTCTCCCACCAAGAGGAACGCACCCCACCGTCTTCCCCCTCCCCATGTGCACTCTGGAAGGTGGGGAGCTGTTGTGGGGGTGGAGCATCCCTCTGGCCAAGTGAGCGCCTGTTATATATCTGTATATTATATATATGTAGAGAGAGCTAATATTTTGTTTGATTTCTGCCTCTCTTTCCCCCCCCCCCCCCCCCAGTGGGTCCCATTTTTGTAACACCCCCATCTCATGTCTCCTGCACAGTGAGTACCCAAGCTCTGCAGAGCTCCCGCCCAGCCCTTCAGGCACAGCACTGACCTGGGTGAGAGGGGGAGGTGGTGCTTGGGCCCAGAGCCACACTTGGCTTTGGGTAGGCCCCTGCCCACTTGGGCTAGCATCCCTCCTGCTCCACTTGGCCACTCCCCTCCACGTTAAAGTCACCTGCCCCTTCCAGCAGGGAGGACGGAGGCACTGACAGCGGCCAGAGCTGGATCCTGAGGTTCAGAGGTGCTGCCATAGCGGGAGAGGATCGGGCAGGGCCAGGAATCGGGCCAGCCCCCCAAAATCAGAGGGGCGTCTCTCTGCAGCCCCGAGTCCTGGCTCAGAATCACACACTGAGGTGCCTTCCTTGTATCTTTCATTCTGGGTTCTTTTCTCTCCCCCTCCCTCCCCCCCGACTCCACTGCCTCTGCCAACAGGGTGAGGGGGCAGTGCTCATGCTGCCTGTGCCTAGACTGCTGGCTGGACGGGGCAGGTCCCCTCTCGCCAGCTGGGTGAGATGAGGCCAAGCCCAGCGCTAGCCGATCCCTGCTTTTTGGGGCAGGAGAAGGCACAGAGGGGGCATGGGCCCTCTATTTCCATGGGAGGGACACTGGTAGATTTAAATAAAAAAAATAAATTAAAAAAAAAAAAAATCGAATCCCTCCACTGCTAGTTTTGGGTTTTTTGCCTTACTGTTTTTTTCCTTTTTTTTATTATTTCCAAGAAAACAACTAAATTAAAAAAACCTGAAAGGTGTGTGCGTGTGCGTCTGCCAGCCAGCCAGCCAGCTAGCTGCTTTACTGTGGAGACCAGCTCTTGGCTGGGTTGGTATGTGGACCTGCCCTGCTGGGGCTGAACTGGTCCCTGGCTTGGGGCTGTTTTTTGGCTAGCTGCTCCTGCAGAGGGCTGGCAATCAGGATGTTGGTCCCAAAGTCCCCTTTCCCTGTGGTTATGGTAAGTTCATCTGTGTACCTGGAGCGAGAGGTCATAGAGTGAGTGAAGCCACCCTGCTTCCTCCCCCCCCCCCGCCGCTTTTCCTTCTCGACTTGTGTAGGTGTGTCTCTCCCCCTCTTCAGCATGCAGGCCTTCAGGTGGGCTGTATATGGTGACAGAGGCCTGCAGGGCTAGGACATGCTCCCTTCATGCCACTGCCCAGCAGAGTGGGCTTAGGCTCTATGGAAAGATTGAGGGTAGGGGTATGATTTTGCAATGGGGGGATCACAGGCAGAGGGCAATGAACCCCCCCCAATTCCCATCTCCATCATCACTTGGCTTCCCTAGGACCCCCACTTCCTGGCTTTTGCCAATTCTTCCTCTGCTGGTTGGTGATAGGCCGAGAGGGCCAGGGGAGACTAGGCCCCCATACCCCTTCGCTCTCCCTAGTCTCAGCAGTGGTGGACAGCTGTCCCCTGGTTCAAACAGGGCCACACAGGCTTGGGGTGAGAGGAACATTAACTGCTGGGCTGGCAATGTTTTAACAAGGGCCTCCTTTCAAAAAACGTTATGCCACTGGCACATGGGCTACTCCATTTGGGGGAGAGGGTCATTCCCTGTCCCTCTGCCCACAGAATGCCTTATTGTCCCCTCTCCCACCCATTTCTTCCCCCCCCCCCCCCTTCACACACTGGCCCTGCTCATGTTAGCATCATGCACACAGCCCTGGTTGGAAGCTGTTCCTTTAAGCAATGGTGGGGGTGGGCAGGTGGGCCTGTGGTCACCAATTGTGGGGGTTATAGACCCTCTCTGGGCTGGGGGATTAGGTGGGGAAACTTTTGCCCTCCCCCCGTCTAGGGTTACCATTCGTCCGGATTCCCCCGGACATGTCCAGCTTCTTGAGCTAAAAATAGCGTCCGGGGGGAATTTGTAAATGTCCGGACTT